AGGATTTGTGTGCGTTGTGTGTGTATGCATAGTGCTTCATTTAATATTTTACACACTTCTGTAATGTGTACTCTCATGAATAAACCAGCGCTGTTTGGTTGAGATGGGGGAGGTCTCAGGGTTAGAAGCAATGGTGTCATGGCCAGGCCTTCCTGACTCAGGACCATGAGATGCACTGGATTTAGGGACTGGCTCTGGGCTTCAGGCCAGGAGTTCTATTTGTCACAATCTCTCATTGGCCTCCTGCCAGCTTCAGGTCTTACACACTTTCCTTGTACTGTTAAAAACTATTTTCCCTGTATATCTCTCCAGGTTGTTATGGAGATCGGCCAAGGCCGTGGGTGTGGGTGTTAAAGAGGATTTGTACATGGCAAAACATTCTACAGGAGGCAAAGATCAATCATTAGTGTAAACAAAGTTTGTTAGCACACTGCAGAATAAAGCCCTAAACCAAAACAGCTTAACTGTAGTACAAATGTTTCTTTTGCATGCTAGATACAGAACTTTCTGTCTAAATACAAAAACATTAGTCACCCCCAAAATTAAACCCTGAGAGAAAAACTTGCTTTTCTCTCAAGCTCCTGCAAAGCAATAGTCTATACTTTTTTCCTCTGTGGGCTTGTATATTCTGAGTTTCTCATCTAAATAAAATCATATAATACACAACTTTGTATATCTAATTTGCTTCACTTATCAAAATGGTTTCCTCATGTTGTGGCATGTGTCTATAGTATGTCATTTATTTTTAGGGTAGAATAAAATTTTATCATGTGAATATATCACATTTTGTTTGTCCATTTAACAGCTAATGAATTTGAAGTCATTTTAGGTATTATGAATGATGTTATGAACAGTGATATACACATTTTTGAAATTAGACTTTTATGACACAAGTTATATTTTTATATTATGCTTTCACAAATGTTATTTTCATTCTTTTGAGTATATTCCTAGAAGAGGTGTCACTAGGTCACATGACTAACTCTATATTTAGCATTTTGAAGAATTACCAGAGTGTTTCCTAAAGTAGATGCAACATTTTCCATTCCCACAGAAAGGACCAAGGGAGCACACTTCCCACATCCTTAGCAATGCTAGCCTTTGCCCATTTCATTTAGAAATCAATTTATTGTATACATACTAAAAGGTGTAAAGTATTACCTCCTTGTGGTTTTGATTTTCTTTATTACAATTATAAATGACATTGACAGCTATTGTATGCCTATTAGTAACTGGCATATACTCTTTGGAGAAATGTCTGTTCAATCCTTTGCCACTTTTAAATGTATGTGTTAACACTGATGAGGTATGAGTGGTACAGATGTATGTGATATATATACGTGTGTGTGTGTGTGTGTGTGTGTGTGTGTATGTGTGTGTGTGTATTCTAGATCCTCCTCAGATATATACTTTATGAATATTTTCTCCCACTGGTAGATTTTCTCTCTCTGTCTCTCTGTATCTGTCTCTCTTTCTTCCTCCTTGCCTCCATCCCTCCTTCCCTCTCTGTTTTGGACACAGGGTCCCACTGTGTAGGTCAGGCTAGCTTTGAACTCCTTACATAGCCCAAATTGGCCTTAAACTTGCTGTCACCCTCCTGCATCAGCCTTTCAGAGGAATCCAGGCATGTCACCACGCCCAGCTATTGTTTTCTTGATGGTGTCTTTTGTATCAGAACATTTTAAATTTCAGTGAAGTCCAATTTATGTATTGCGTAACTCAAGGTCACAAAGGTGTATACAATTTTCTCCTAAGCCCTTTATATTTATTGTTGGGAGCCGCGGCCGACACCGGTCGCCTTACTTGGCGGACGTAGGGCCTGTGGGTGGGAGCGGAGCCTGAGCTAGATTGCCCCTCCCATCGAGTGAGCCAAGTTGGCGCCTGCTTCCTGCCCCCTGATTGCCCTGGCGACGTAAGCAGCCCGCGCAATAGAATAGTCTGCCTAGCAACAACTGATGTTAGCCAATCAGCCCGCATCGCGCGCTTTGAACTGATTGGCCACTGTTACCCTATAAAAGTAAATGCCTCTCCCGCCACGAGGGAGAAGCACAGAGAGAAGCACAGAGAGAGATAGAGAAAGTCCACCGGCGAGAAAGGGCTGGTGACAGAGCGGAGGCCTCGAGGGGCCCACGCGGAGATAAATAAAGGCAAGATTGCACACCGCCAGACTTTGTTGTGTGTCTTTCCTGCCGGCCGGGAGCGACCCCGACAATTTATAGCTGTTATTTTCAGAGTTTTGATTATTTTGATTGCTTTCTGTATATGATGTGAAGTAGAGATCCAAGTTGTGCTAAGAAACTTTGTTTTCTTCTCATTGAAAAGTCTTGGAATCCTTGTCAAAATCAATTGTCAATGAATGTTAAGCATAGATTGATTTCTAGGTTCTCAATTCTATTGCTATAATCTTTATGTCTATCACCACAAAAAATTCTTGTTTACAGCTTTGTAGTGTATTTTGAAATTGGAGCATATGAATCCTTTAACTTTGTTGTTCTTTTGCAAAGCTTTCTTGGTTATTCTACTTATCTTCCATTTCCATATGAATTTTAAGGTCATCTTGCAGTTTCTCCAAAAAATATCAGTTGGTATTTTGAGAAACATTGAATATAATCTGTCAATCAATTTGAAGAGCAATTGCCATCCTAATAACAATTTTCCCAGTTACCGTATATGATATTTCTCTACATTTGTTAGGTCCTCTCTATTTTAACAAGGTTGTGTATTTTTCAGTGTACAAAGCTTTAAATTCTTTAAAGATTTTATTATTAAATTTTTTATTAAAGAATCATTTTCTTAGTTGTGTTAAGAATGTGTATTGCTGTCACATAGAATATAATAATTTTGCATTTTAATATTGTATCTTTCAAACTTGTTGATAGAACTGTGGGGGGAGGAGGAGGACTGGCGGCAGCTGAAAAGATAAGAAGTATGAAATATAAATAACCTTTATTTTGGGAATGCACGGAGAGACACCCTCGACCCCCTGGGCATGGCATCTCCACCCCAGGGCTGGGATCTCTCCGTGGAACACGTGGAGTGAGGCACATAAGTAGCCTCTGCTTGGGGTGGAACCTAAGGGGCATTAGGGATGCACAGGTAGCCCATTGGTCTTAGTTTGGTGCCAGATGCAATTCCTAAGGGTAGGGGAGATAGGAGCTTCCTGGCTTTACTGGCTACAGTTTCCGGCATGGGCCAAAACCCTTTCACTTGTAGCATGTGTTTTCCTTGGAGTATATTTTTACAGATTTTTAAAGATTTTCTATATTCAAAATTCTGCCACTTGTTAAAAAATAGCTGTACATCTTCCTTTTCCCATCTAGATTCCTTTTATTTCTTTTTCTTTCCTGAGCAGAGCTTGTTAGCAGCTCGATGTTAACTAGAGATGATAAGAGCAGACATCCTGGTCTTCCTTGTTCTTTAAGGCAGGAGGCTTCACAATCACAGACTTAAATTATAGTACAAAGCTAGAGTGATAAAATCAGCATGGTACTTGCAAAGAAAAAAAAACAGACAACCATCAGTGGAACAGATTAGAAGATACAGTCATAACTACAATCACACACAGTCACATTTGACAAAGGAACCCAACATGTTCACTGGAATAAAGACAGCCTGTTTAATAAATGGTGCTGGAAAAACTGGCTTTCCCAATGCCAGAGACTCAAACTAAACCCATGTCTATCACCAGCACTAAACTATAGTCAAACTAGACCAAATATCTAAATACTAAAACAGAAACACTAAATCTGCTGGCAAATGAAATAGATAGAAATCTTGAAGATACTGGGATAGGTAGAGAGTTTGTGAACAAAAATCAAGCTGCATCTCCACCCCAGGGCTGGGAAATACTTCCCAGAATCAACAACTGAGTTCTCATCTTAATAAAGTTTTTGTATGCCAAAAGAAATCACCAATGGATAAAAAGAAAACCCATGAATTAGTAAAAAATCTTATCCAACTGTCCTTCAAACAAATGACTTTTATCTAGAGTGTATAAAGAATTGAAAAAAAATCAGACCAACCCCAAATTCAAAGACCCAACTTAATTTATCTGAGATGAATACACACTTCTCAGATGAAGAATACAAATATCAAACAAATGTATGAAAAATGTTCAACAACATTTGTTCAGTGGCCATTTGAGAAATTCAAATTTAAACAACATTGAGATTCCATCTCACTTCAGAAAAGAGTAGCTATCATTAAGAAATCAACCAATAGCAAATGCTGGCAGGGCTGAGGGGAAAAAGTTGGTGGGAGTATAGACTGGTGCAAGCACTGTGGAAATCAGTGTGGTGACTGCTCAAAAATCTGAGATTCAAGGTCCCATTTGACCCAGCTCTGGCCATTCTGAGTATCCTCCCAGAAGAATTAAAAATATCATACCACAGTGATGTAAGTGCACCTATGTTTATTGCAGCAAAATTTGTAAGAGCTAAATTTTGGAAACAATCCAAATGTCCATCAACTGAGAGATGAATAAAAAAAGATGTGGTATTTCTATACAATGGACTACTATTCAGCTATAAAGAAAGATAAATTCTAGGTTGTATAGGTAAATGGATACAACTAGAGACCATACTCATAAGTGAAATAAATCAGATTTGCATGTGTAAACACTGTATCATCTCCCTTGTATAAGAAACTGAAAGATTAAATAAGATCCATAAGGTAAAATAGATACTGTAAAAGGGAATGAAAGCACTCAAAAGGAAAGAACAACTAGGATGGCGAAAAAGAAAAGGAAGGGAAACACACACACACACACATATATGTATGTATGTATGTATATGTATATATATACAAATATACACACACACAAGATAGCTAAGTTTCATGGTTTATGTCAGTGACCCCCAGGCCTCATGAGTTTGCATTGTGCATTTGTGATGGTTCATTGTATAGTGCTTGGATTGATGGTGTCAGTGCTCCACCCACATAGGGGTGGAGCCAGGATGTGATGTAATGGCAGGAAGAAGGTGTGTCTTGCTCTTTGCTGGTTCCTACTTGCTGTTGGCAGCCGCCATGAACTGTGGTCCAGTCATGCCCGCCTGTCTTGGAGCCAACTGAGTGTGGACTGAAACTTCCAAAAACTGTAAGAAATAAATCTTTCCTTTCCCAACTTGGGCTTCAGGTATTTTGTCTCAGCAATGAGTAAAAAGTAACTAAGAAACTAAGATAATTTTACTACTGATCTTATTAGTTCAGAGAAAGAAACTGTGATTGTTAATATTGTTTGATCTGTTTTGCATACCCATGTCTAGTAATTTGAGCACCTATTTTGAAGATAATATGCAACATAGTGACTATTAATTTCCTATCAGCTTGTTTTGAAATCCTATATCATTTTATTGTTTTTTTTCTCTTAATCTCTTTAAAACAAAAAAATAGATATATTTGGGTGCTATAATTTTTAATTCTTGAGTATTTCTTTTACTACATATTTTTAAATTTTTTAGTAATGACCCTAGGGGCTGAAATAACCCAGTAGCTTATTACAATCTAGTTTGTATTAGCATGAGCTTCATTACAATATTATACAAAAACTTTTGTAATGTGAAATTACACTCCTCCATTTCTCCTTTGTGCTGTTACACAAATTGCACCTTGAATATCTTGTACCCCTCAGCACATATTTGTAATTGTTTCCTGATGTAGATTTCTCTATAAATCAAATAGGGGATACAAAAAGCTATAAGGAAAATTACATTTGAACTCTGTTTTTTTACTGAACTGTGTAGTTACCTCTACAGGTGTTCTTTATTTCTTCATCTGGATTTAAAGTACTGCTTTTTCATTTCAGTCCAAAAGACTTCTCATAAGGAAGGTCTAGCAATGGGTTCTTTCAGATTTTGTCTTTAAGAAAGTATTAATTTCCTTTTCATTTTGAAAGACAATAGTGTTGCATAGAGAATTCCTTTTTCTTCTTTTCTGTTAGCAATTTGACTCTTTCATGTATCTTTTGGGCTCCATGGTTTCTGAGAGAAATTAGCCATTAGTCTTCCCGGGGATCTTTACACATAACTTGCTTATTTTTGTGCTCTCAAGGTTCTGTTTTTCAGCTGTTTTACTGTGATGTGTCTGGTTGTATAGCTGTTTGTGCTTGTCTTAGCTACAAAAATTTTTTTGAGCTCCTTGGATATGTAAATGAATGTCTTCCATCACATTTAAGAAATTTTCAGTCATTATTTCTTCAAATATTCTGATTCATTCTCCCCTTTCCTTCTAAGATTCTCCTTACGTATATGTTGGTTTGCTTGCCGGTATCTCAAAAGCTTTAGGGATGGTGTTCATTATTTTTTTCCTGCTTCCTTCTGCCCTTCAGATGGGACGTCACTGACCAATCTTTATGCTTGCTATTGCTTTCCTGTGCTTATTCGAATTTGCTGCTGAGCCTCTATAGTGAATTCTGCTTTCTATTGTACTATTCAGATTTAGAGCTTCGGTTAAACTATGTCATTTCCAATCCTGTGTGAATATTCTATGTTTGTTGAGGCATTATTTTTGTATTTTTCTTTAGTTTTTAAAACATGATTTCCTTTACTTCTCAGAAAACATTTAAAATGAATGATTTGTATTCATTTTCCTAGAATGTTTAAGGCCTGTGCTTCTAGAGGGAAGCTTGTATTCCTGATGACCCCAGGCTGCATCAGAAATGTAGGTTGCTATTTTTAAGGCTACTGCAGAACTGGGAGATTGGGAATGAAGCTAACGCAAGCTAAAAGTCACAAAGCTCACCGCTCTTACTGGGATTCCACTGATGCCCTTCATGCATGTTTCCTGAATAGCTGAAAGACTTTGATTAAGAGTTCTGAGCAAAGTGGATTCTAACAGTTTTCACCAACTTTTCTACAGTTTTTTGTAGACTTTTCAGCAGTCCTTACTCTCCCATGAGTACTAATTTCATTTTATAAATAAGCAATCTAAATACATAGTTGTCAAATGATCATAGCTCTTCTGGAATATGATTTCTGGGATTTAAGTTTTGGATATTCTACTTACTCTTTTGTAGCCCTTGGCATGTTACTTAAATTCTCTGGCAGAAATTTTCTTTTATAAACTGGGAATGTTAACAATTTCTCCTAAGTTGGTCATGATTAGTAAGATGAATTAGTATGTGAAGAAGTCGCATGAGGATGCTTAGCCCAAAATATGCAGTCTACACTGAGATCTCAGTACAGTCCTGCCTAGGTGACAGGTCAACTTCCACACTGAGTTGGTAGAATTATTACTGAACTCCCAGAGGTAACAAGTGATTGACTCTACTCATGAGTTGTTACAGAGCGCAGTGAGAATGTATGCAAATCATCACCTTGTGACCAATAGCTGCTCTTGAAGGGGAATTGTTCCCACAAGTTGTGGCTCTCTTCTCTGTAATGAGTGGATGATAGAAACTTCCTCTAATATTTTTATTCAAAAAATTTTAGGTGAGCATGTATACTTGGATTCAGATGTATTTTATTCCTGCAGAAGAAATAAGGTGAGATTTTGTTCTGAATTTTTGCAAAACTCAAAGCCAGAGCTGCCCACCGTGGACCGAGGGACCTGGCTGTGGATCCATAGATCAGCATGCTTTGCCTGGTGTGGGTGCTCAGCACGTTTGGGTTTTAATTATGAGACTCGAAGATTTTTTCAGAGAAGGTGAAAAATGAAAGCACAGTGAATAGGGTGAAAGCAGTTGATCCGGATCAGCTGAAAATGGAGCAGGTGGCCTCCATAAGTGCCAGCTGTGCCCGATGGCTGGTTTTATTGCCAGCTTATCATGTTGGCCACGGCTATTTTTGCCATAGTTTGCTTTAGTCCTAACATTGTTGTAAATCTTCCTGTAAAATTGCTCTAATGCAGCAGAAATCCTGTGGAATGAAACGGGAAACTTCAAGAATCAGCTGATTATAGTGGAATGAGAGGGAGGCTGAGCTTGCCCAGAGAGAAAATATCGGAAAGCCACGGGGAAGCAGTGGGCTGTCTCATGGCTTACTGGAGTTTGTCCTCTCTGATGTGGTTGTAAGAAGAGACAGCACTTACAGCATGCTTCCACCAGGTGGCACTATCAAAAACATTTCCTGGATCCTCCTTTTCTCTAATTTATTAAAAGCTAGTCAACCTGTTTTTAAAGGTGGAAATAATATTTATTTTTGGAGGGTGCTTATCATATCATGTTCTTTACTTTTTGTTTTTGTATGTCTATTTTAAATAAATAGAATGCTTTTCCCAGGAGATATTTAGCTAGATTTTGTGAGACACAAGTGTGAGCTAATCATCCTAGATTGTTACACATTGTATCTTATGACTTACATTAGTACACTTTGTATTTTGGTCTCTGTAATTAGCCTGAATGTATACAAGCTTCTATAGAAATTTTCTAAGTGTTTTGTTGTCCTTGCCAAAATGTGAGGGGATTATCAAATAGTCCCTGTCCATTCATTCTGAAGGCTGGCTGCTGTCTCTGCCCCCATTTAGTCCTTTCCGGTCCCCAAAGCCCTGGGTAGGTTCTTGTAGGGGGATCCCCAGTATTCTTAAAGTCATGCACTAATACAAATTCAATAGTTGGGATCCAGGAAAGCAGTCCTTGGACAATTCTGCTTATACTCTTGCTATTAATTTAAAAATTATCACAACATTTAAAAAATAATATACACAAAATGTTTAACGAATAATATGGCACCTGTTAAGTGATCAGTGCGTGTAGGAGAAGAAAAGATTTTTAAAAACCTGTATTTAACTCACATCTTTTCAGTAGAAGCACCAAAGAAACTTTTTGTCTATGTCAGCTTTGTAACTTTTCTAAGAATCAGAAAAGATGAGAGGAACCAGGAACTGAGATGTGGTGTTAATTATTTATTATTTGTATTGGATCTGGGCTTTGCCTGTTAGCTGGTGCCTTTGATGTGGATCTGAGGGAAGTCCTTGAGGGTTTAACCCAGAGTCTTTGTACTGAGCTGTGTCTCCAGCACTGTCTGTCTGTCCTTATCTATCGATCCATTCAGGGTCTTGCTAAAGTGCTCAGACTGGGCTTGAACTTGTGTCCTTCCTACGTCAGGCTCCCAGAGTACTGGAAGTACAGGCATGTGGCCCCATACCTGACTTACATTGAATTTTCTTTTAATAGTGCCCAGAATTCTCTAAGATGAGAATAAGGGCCTGAATGTGGAGGGATTTGGCAACCAATGGAGGCAGACCCTTTCATGCTTCAGTGTAGCCCAGAGAGGGCAGAGCTCACTCTGCATGCATGGAGGGAAAGTGCACTGGTGTTTGAGCGATGACAGGGAAGTTCTCACCTCACTGTCCCTTTCTCCATAGTCATGTCTGTAAAAAGCACTGAAGTGGTGGGGCTAAGAATGAGGGAGAAGTTGCCTGTGAATAGTGAAGCCCTGAAATTACTATTTTATCAGGAGGGAGCTCTTGATGATTGTTTCCCTTGCACGCTGGAGCTGACAGACAGCCTTTACTGAGTTGTTGATCCTTCCTGGCAGGTGTATGGTCCAGCAGGGAGCTGCCTAATGAGCTGGGGCTCCATCTTGTGAGTCCCCCTCCACTCCAGCCTGCGGCATGCATGTCACCTTGGTGAATCCCAGCAGGGACTGGTGAGTACCTTTTCCAGCTGTGCCTGTCACGAGCCCTTTGTGCAGCCAGTGCTGCAGTTTTCAGGTCAACTTCCACAAGGCCAGCTGGGCAGCCTGGCAGGACCACCTTTAGGGCACAGGCCCCGGAAACCAAAGCAAGTGGCAGTGGTGGAAAGGCTGATACGGTGGATATGTAAGCCTGTGACATACTTGTTTGCTATCATTATCAAGCATTATGTACTATCCCTCATTCTGCAAGCTGCAGCACGGGTGGTTTGTTCAGGCCAGCGTCGCTGTAAACATGTGGACAATCCATTGTGCTGTGATGTTAGGACAGCTTGATGCTAGCAGGCAACGGGGATTTTTTTGTCTCCCTCAGGACCTTATGGTACCACTGTGATATGCACAGTCCCTAGTTGATTGATAGGCTGTTAGGTGGTACCTGACTGTATTTTCTAAGCCTTGAATGGTAATGTCAATATTCCAAGTGTCCCTGGGTCAGAAATATACAGAAATGACATTTAGGAGCTTGCATAAATGAGAGGATAAAGTGGCACTGGTTAAATAAAATTCATCACCTGGGCCTAGATTTTGCGGCTGCTTGTGTAGATTCTGTTAGTGCTGTTCACAGCACTCTGGAAACCCTGCTCCCTCTTGTTCTGCGTCACGCTGTCCTCCTGATTCCACAGTAGGGGCGTGTTCCTTGTTTTATTTGAGAGTTTTGTTTTTCATGGGAAGCGGAAGGAATCCCCAGACTCTCCTGGGACATTTATAAGCACAGAAACTGGAAGTATCTGGGCTCCTCCTGAGGTGAGCTGCAAAGGGGCAGGGAACCTCTCTTTGGAGGTCCTGCCCAAGCAAGGCTTTTCAGATGGGCACTGCTGCGTGCTGGTTTGGGGTATGTGAGTATGCACATGTGTGCTTTTGGGGGACACACACATGTTTTGTATCTATTGCTCTAAAAGGGCAAGAGAGCAAGGACCACAGACCAGGTGTCTCCTGAGCCCACTCTACCTGCCCTGATGAAAGCATTATAGTCAGATCAGGCACACTCCACCCCAGGCTCGGCTTGCTCGCGTCTCCTAGGACTGACTATGTGATGGCCTCCTGTTTTGATCACTGCTTCATCACTAGGACACAGTACGCAACACTCACAATTTAGAGGAGGAAAGGCTTATTTTAGATCACAGTTTGTAGAGGTTTTCATCTATGATCATCTGGCTATCAGGAGAAACAGCATAGTAGAGGGGCATGGCAGAGGAGAAACATGGCAAACAGGGAACAGGGAGAGATTAAGGACAGAGGGAGAGAAATAAAAACTTTCCAGGCCACAACCCCAGTGACTAGCTCTTCCCGTCTTTACCTCCCAAATCAGATTTAGCTAATCTCATCAGAGGGACTAGTCCACACTGATGAGTATCATACCCCAAGGCCCAATCACCTCCCAAATCCCCACCTAGGAGGACATCAGGTTTTGGGGGTACATCTAGACATCCAGATATAAACTCTAATACCTCTTCAATGGTCCTCTCTAATGTCCTGTGTGTGACGTCCACCTTGGGGCACAAGGCCAATTACAAACTAAAGATTTGAACATTTAAGTAGCAGCAGGGGCCAGATCCTGGTTTTGTGGGGCCTTGACCTTAGGCTAGAGGAGGATCCTCTTTAAAGAAATGAATACAAAGTTATAAAGTAGTACAATGAATACGGGCAACAAATCTGTACAATGGAAAAAAGTCAGAAATCCACACGATATTGAAGTGTACAAATATTACAAACATCACAAGTTAACAGTAATTTTTATTGTCCACCTGGCATATTCTGCAATATTTTTCTCAATCTTTTGGCTGCCTTTTATTTGCTAGCAATTTTGTGGTATTGCTTGCTATAGACAGAATAGTAAGATAATTTAGTCTTTTCTGTGGTTAATTAAATTTTTTATATTGGTAATTCGAGAAGTGTCTTTTAACTTACCAACCAGCTATATTTAGGACACAGATACAATCGCTGGCTATGACAGATCAATGCTTTGGATTATGGCCAAATAAGTCAAATTTCTTTCATGAATCATCTATGAGTAATGAGTTTGGAAGAATATTGCAAACACCAGCTTCTGGTTCTACACATTTTTTCCTACACTAATTATAGGCTCTGGTGTTGGGGACAGTGGCGAATGGCCATATTAGGACATGGTCTCTGACCTTGCATCTTGGTGTCAGGATGCTGAGTAACCCCAATAGTGAATAAACATGTATCCCTGAAAGCTGTTCCTACACTGTGACCTCATCAGGACCTCAACTCCATGAGGAAGTCACTGAGAGAAATCTGTTCTAGTTAAGTCAAACTGACTTCCCCACAACTCAACTTGCTCTTAGCTGGAAACCAGAAAGATTCAGGTGCCACCTGTCACAGTGAGAGACTGAGGTCACAGATGTTGGAGAAAAGGAAGCAGAGGTTTAACTGATTGAAGTTATAATATGTTATCTTTGAAAACATCACACAGTTGACCATGTGCACTTACAGTCAAGGTCCGAGGAGTGGTTTCTGGGAGAGAGACGCCCTGAGGCATAAGTGTCACCAGCCTCTTGGTAGCTCTGCTCTGTGCTCAGGAAAGGGTCTGCTCTACTTGGCATCATGGACAAAAGGGATGAAGAGCAGGGTCTTTTGTCTATTTCCTTATTGGTCTGTAGTTTTCATTCCATATGATCAATTTCATTCATGTCTCAGCTCAAAGATGAAACACGTGCCTGCCTTTGCTAAGCCTGAAATATCATGTAACCAACACTCATGAACTCATCTGGATGAGTGCTTGGAGAGGTGACAGGAGGAGATGTGTTTGTTTAAGAAAGGAACTTGTTCACTGATCACTCATTTTTTTAGTAGAAAAGCCTGGCTGAAGGTGGCAGTGAATGACAGAGATGAAGCCCACAGCCAAAGTAAAGTAGCACACTGCCTTCAATGCACACTAATGATTAAAATTACATCACAAATTAGTGTAAATTGTTGCACAGAGTGAACAGAAGGGCAGAGGTTTAGAGAGTAGTGGAGAGTAGGTACCATACCCTGTAGATTTACGGTAAAATGTTATGCTGAATTCTTTAATGCACCTGCATCTGTTAGTCATTGCAGCTATGTTCTCTAGCCTATAAGAGACAGTTTCCTAAGCTGAAATATGGCACCCTATTGCCAGAAAGGCCCCAGTTGGCCATGTTTGCATTTGAGAGGGTTCCGCTTCAAAGGCCTCAACTGATATGGGTCACTCACATCCTGGATGGGTCATGAGGGGAGTGGGTTGGAAGACAGCTGGTGGGTGGAATGGTCATAGGGCTTCCTAGCCAGGAGGAGGAAATGGGGTCATTGCTTGTCAGGAGCTCTAAAAGAGGACCAGGTCAGAGTGTGCCCACCCTAAGGGGGAAGGTATAAATAGGAAGCAAAGCTTCATGGGTATCTGGTCAGAAAGGAGGATTTTGAGGTTAGTGGACAGTGTCCCATGGGCAAGAATCTCTACAACTTGGAAAAAAGGCAGCTATTGGCAATAAGACCAGCATAAAAACAGTAGTGTCTCAGCACTGGGGACAACAGTGGGAGGTGGAGCTCCTGTGGAGACAAAATGCTTGGTACTCTTTTGGCTTCTCTGATCCTTTACCTCATGTCAGAGGAATGGAATGACAGTACTGACACAGAGTGGTGATGAGGATTAATGTGAGCTACCCAGTTGGAGTACAGCAACAATAGTGTTTATACTAATTATACCCTGGGGTTATTTTGACTGTGCTAAGTGCTTTTACAGAAGACAACCTTGCTACTCAACTCATTGTTATCATTACTGTTGTTACTATTATCTGTGGTTTTGGATTGTATCAAAGTGGCGTAAGATCCTTGGCGCCCCCCACATACCTCCTCCAAGTCCAGATGGCTGAATCTTGCAGGTGTCTGCTGCCCACACCTCCAGGAAACCTGCAGGGCATGCAGCCCATGATGAGCCTCTGGAAACCTCTTTTCTAATAGGGGGCGGGCCATTAGGTTCAGGAAGTCCTTGTGGCTCAGTGTCTAGGGGAGGCCAGGGAAGAAAAGGAAGGGTGGAGGGGAAGGAAGTCCTCATTTATTGAGTGCCTATTGTACAGCAGTGACTCTGAAGAGATAAAGTGCTGTGTATGTTACCATGTTTATCAAAGCTGTAGTTAGGGATTGTTATTTCCATACCAAAAAGAAGAAGGAAAATGGACGCTTTGTGAAGCCCTTTGCCCAAGTGCGAAACTAGACCTAGGATCAGACTCAAATCTGCATCCATCTGGATCTTAAGTCCATGCACCTTCCTTTAGGTCAGGAGTGCAGAAGGCTGCTTATTCCATTACAGACTCAACATACACAAAATAATCTTTGACTCAAATGAGAAAGTAAATTCTAAGTTCATTTACCTTGAAAACAAGTAGGGATTTTGAATGGACGTAAACTAACCCTAACCCTATCCCTATCCTTAGCCCTAACCCTAAACCTAACATTAACCCTAAATCTAAACCCAATTTGTTAGCCTTTAATAGGATGTCATTGAAGAAGCGTTTTCTGGACTTTTTAATGTCTGAGCATCTCTAAGGCTAGTGACACATACACAACATATGTAATCTTATGTTGATTTGACATATTTCTCTTATCACAAGCAAATGGAATGCAAGAGAAAAGCAAATATCTCAGTCTAGAAAAAAATCAGCACCATAAACAATCCTTTAGAAGACCTGTATCCCCAGAAGGCATGAATGTATTTAGTAGAAATTAGTAATGAGTATCATAGCTATGTAAACACCTTTGTCTCTTAATTTAGTTTTGTACCAACAGTATTTTTAATAAAACCTTATTTTTTTTACAGAAAACTTAACATTTTCATGATTAACAATGTAGACACATCACAATAATATGATTAGCTACATCCATTGGGGTGTGTCTCACATAAGGCTATGGAAACTATCTGGAATCCCATTAATGAACAAAGACCAAAATGAGATATTTCCAAATAGGAGAATCCT